TACGTATTTATAATTCGTACAGAATTGCTAACTCGACCAGAATACTGGAATTTTCGACGGAATACCGAAATTCCAGCGTCGAGATAATCATGTTAATTATCGTCATGTTGATTAATAAAGATCAGAGAGCCAGAAGTAGAACAATTATTAATTGATCGGTGGGAAAAACATAATCTAAACTGACCGACATAAGACTAGACTGGGGGGAGGGGAGAATAATGAGGATAAATGGGGGGAAGAGAGAAAAAAGGGTAAAGATGGGAACGAGGGTAGGAAAAGGGTAAGAAAAGGAAAAAGCTAAGAAAAGGAAAAAGGGTAAGAAAAGGAAAAAGGGTATGAAAATGGAACAAGAGTAGGAAAATAGGAAAATGGAATAAGGATATGAAAATGAATAAGGGTATGAAAAGGAATAAGGGCATGAAAAGGAACAAGGGTAGGAAAATGGAACAAGATTAGGAAAACGAACAGAATAAGAGTAAGAAAAGAAACAATGGTAGGAAAAGGAACAAAGGTAGAAAGGTACGGGCAACAGGCCCATGAGAACAATTGCAAACGTTGTTCCTCTCTGTGAACTAAATTGTTCTCTTGCACAAAACATTTATCTTTACTATGTAAACAAAGTTGTTCATACGCACAAAAATTGTTGCCTTGCGTACAAAATTCTTCTTGTTACCAAAATTGTGCTTGTGCCCAGAAATTTACAGCTCAGTAGGCGTACAATGTACGACGGTAAAACTGTACTGAACTTAACCATAAATTGAACACAAACTAAAACAATTGTACTTGTAAAAATAACATTTTTCATACAATATTATTGTAAAATATTTTACTAGTGATAGCTCGAAATGTTGAAAATTTTGTAACTTTTGAAACATTTGGTTTGCTATTGAACATAGCTGTATGATATATATTAATGGATAATAAAATTTATTAATAAATGAATTAACTATGATTAGGACCAGGCTTTGTCATATAAAGGTGGATAATGCAGTGAATATCTTAATCACAATTATGTTTAGAATCTTAAAAAAATATGAATTATTATTATTATCTAATTAATCGTAATAATTCAGCATTGAAAATTTGTGCAGAAAACCTAAGTACAAAATGATTTTCAGTTTCAGAAACATTACAAAATATATTAGAGCAAAAATTCAAGCAGTTAAGCATTAATGGTGTTCAGAGAATTACAATTTAGTATATTATTGATATTTATTTCCTCTGATAATGACTGGAGTGAACGCATTTTTTCTGTTGGATTTTAGATAAAAAAAAAGAATCAATGAAGATATATAAAAAACATACGAATCGCGGGACTAATATAATTTAGTATATTAATGATATTTATTTTCCTCTGATAGTGACTGGAGTGAACGCATTTTTTCTGTTGGATTTTAGATAAAAAAATAGTATCAATGAAGATATATAAAAAACATATACGAATAGCGAGACAAAGGAACCATGGTTGGCAATCGACCGGCGATTGAGGAGTTGAGAAAAAATGAACAAATTGTATTCATGTTGAATAATAATGAATAAAGAGTGGGTTGTGGATAAACTGGGGGCAATGTTTTAAATAAAGTATGATACTTAACATGGCTATCAAAATTAATTATAAAAATAATTATGGGATGTAATTTAAATTATCATTGAAAAGAAATAGAAATAAATAAAAGAAATAATTAATTTTTGAGCATAAATACAAGTTTTTTTTTATTTCTTTTCGTGCCAAATTGAACTTTTTGTGCAAAAAAAGAACTTCTTGACAAAATGAGCCAAATAGACTTATTGTGCAACATGGAATTTTTTGTGCGAAAATTTACAATTTTTTCCGATTTACAAAAGTTTGCAAACAAAATATCATTAAAACAATAACAGCATATTAGATACAGAAAAATAAATGAAGCAATTTATTATTACAAGTCGTCTTTGTAGTTATCTTCTGGCAAGCATAATGTTTCTTCTAGTGGTTTTTGCACGATGCACCATTAATTTTTTGTGCAAACCTCCCTCCATCCGATGATATCTTTGAATATATATCATTGCAGGGATGTAAAAAGGGTACAAAGACCAAGATTTTGTTAATAAATAAATTAATAACGTGGATTGCAATCACATCATTACGTCATTTAATAACGTGTGATGTCACAATAACATGAGCACATCACGCTAAAGCTACGTAATAATGGGGACCTAAAGAATGAAAGCTTGAGATAACGAAGACTGGCGGTAACGGAGGCTGGAGATAACGAAGACTGGCGGTAACGGAGGCTGGAGATAACGAAGGCTGGAGAAAACAGAGGCTGGAGATAACGAAGGCTGGAGATAACGGAGGCTGGAGATAATGGAGGCTGGAGATAACAGAGGTAGGAGATAACGGAGGCTGGACTCTGGAGATAACGAAGGCTGGAGATAACGAATGCTGGAGATAACGAAGGCTGGAGATAACAGAAGCTGGAGATAACGAAGACTGGAGATAATGGAGGCTGAGATAACGGAGGCTGGAGATAACGAAGGCTGGAGAAAACGAAGGTTGGAGATAACGAAGGCTGGAGATAACGGAGGCTGGAGAAAACGTAGGAATGGATAAACGACCTAAGTAGCGTGGATGACGAACACCAGAACAGCAAGACGCAGGCGACCTGAAATACGTGAATATGTTAGGCAGATGTCGTAACTGTGAATACTTTTAGTTTTAAATACCGAATTGTTGAATTAGGGTTGAGAAAAACATTGTTTTAATAGAATGTCAAAAATGAATAATAAACAAATTGAATTGAAAAATACAAGAACATAGTACACCATATAAATTTGTATTTATCAATTGTAGACATTTTTAACTAGTAATAATAGTAATAAAAAAAAGAAATTTTAAGTAGAAATGATCCTAAAATAATTAATCATTTCAATTTTTAATAATTTTGAAAGTTATTTTAGAATTATTTCAATGATACTAATATGAATAAACTATTTTAATTTCTGAATAAATGAAAAATATGCAACCATTTTGCTAAAAAATATTTCTGAAATAATTTGATCAAAATTAATTATAAGATAATCATTATCATAATCAGATGGAATTTCGAAATAACAATTGATACCAATAATAATAAATAATAATAATAGCAATGAAGAAATAAGGAGCTACAATATTTGAAGTATATACACAATTATTTATAGAATACAATTATCAAATACAATAAAAATAAGAAAAATTAAATTTGAAAGAAAATACTCATCAATTTCCGTCATTCTTTGCCATCATATTTTCAAGAAAAATTCAAGCATTACTTCTACATATCCTCTTAGTCTCTTTATAATTAAAAAAAAAAGATAAATGAACATTAAATGAGCACTCAAATAAAACATTCATTAGAAACACGATAAAAAAAAATAGGCACAATTACATCCACATAGACCTACGTTATAACAGCCCGCAGGAAACTGATAGACCTAGCACAATACCTGGTCTAGCACAATACCTGGTCTAGCACAATACCTGGTCTAGCACAATACCTGGTCTTGCACAATACCTGGTCTAGCACAACACCTGGTCTAGCACAATACCTGGTCTAGCACAATGCCTGGTCTAGCACAATACCTGGTCTAGCACAACACCTGGTCTAGCACAACACCTGGTCTAGCACAACACCTGGTCTAGCACAAC